TTTTTGTGGATGTTATAAAATGAAATGGCTTTTAAATTTCAGAATCTAATAGCCGGCGCATTGTTTGATGTTTGGATTGGTTTCTTATTGGTGTGCATTTTAACGACAGTTGGCTCAACGCTATGCTATCTCTTCTCGGAATCATTCGCTCGTGAATATGTCTTCTATTACTTAGGTCATCGTATCATTTATCTACAACAGAAGGTACACTGATAATTTCTAACTTTAACTGTAAATTTCTAATTTCCTTCTAAAATATATTTGATCATTTTTCGGCTATTTGAAGCTTCTCCGAACTTGAACTTTTGAAGCTGATCAAATTTTCAATTTTATTAAAATTTTTTTATTTCATTTTTTTTTTCACTGTAGGTGCACAATAATTCGGATCGTTTATTAGCATTTTTGTTGTTTGCTCGGATATTTCCAATTTCACCAAGTTGGCTACTCAATATTGTTGCACCATTTCTCAATATTCCTCTTTTCATTTTTGTAATGACTACTTTCATTGGTAAGATTTGAAATTAATTCAAATTTCATAATAATCGGTTTTTTTTTTTAAAATTTTTCGACTGAATTTAGAAGTTATTAAGTTTTAAATGGTTGAATTAGAAATTTAAATGTAATTTTTCATACAATCCCAAAGTAGCATACTTAATTCTATCTCTTTCATTTTCTTCATTTCAAATCAACAAATTCTTCTTTTGAAATTATCAAATAAACTTCAATATTTCATTTCTATCACAATGCATCATTTCTTGCATGTTTTCAGTGTCTGTCCTTTTTTTACATTGTTCAATAATTGCAAAAAAAAATGATAAATGAATTTTGTCATTGCAATTTGTTGCAATTTCATTATTTTTAATTTTAATTTATTGCAGGATTGGCACCATATAATTATATTTGTGTGCAAACTGGACATATATTATCAGAAATTCATAGCTGGGCTGACATTTTTAACTTTTTCACATTATTTAAACTTTCCTCACTTTCATTACTACCACTTATATATGCATTTTATATTAGGCCAAGAGATCAGGTAGATTTGAACCAACGAATTGACATCAGATTTTTTGCTTATCAATTCTCAGATTTTAACAATAGCGAACAATAGCGGAAGGAAAGACTTGCAAATGTGGGCTCACAATTGTGAAATTTTGAAAGAGCAAAATAATCAATTAATTTGTATTAGAAAAATACGGTTATTGTTATAAAGAGAGAAAGAGAAAGAGAAAGAGAGAGAAAGAGAGAGAAAGAGAGAGAGAGAGATGATGCAATTTGGTTAACTTTTAATGCATTATTCATGAAGTGTTTTGTTTTCAGGTTTCAGTGATCGAAAAAGACCAAATCGAAAAAGTGTTAATTATTTAAGTTGAACGCAGCTCTTAATTATTATTGCATGTTTATGTCGCAACAATATAATTCTGAAATTGACTCGATTCTTTTTTTGTAATCATGGGAACTTGAGTACTATTCTATTTTTCGACATTATCAGTTGCCAGTTTCAGTTTGCATCAATCGATAAACATAAGTTCCAATTTGCATTGATCGGTGAACAGAAGTTTGCTTTTTCAAAATAATAATTTCAAGTTATTTCATGATTCCAGAATAATTCTAGTTTATTTTATTAATTTATGTAATTTCTGTACTCTAACGACATGACTGCTCAATTTTACTAATATTCACTTTCGTTTTCAAGTAAAGTTGAAAGCTATTAATGATTTCGATTTTCATATTGATTCAGGTGTATTTTTCGGCCATGATTCCGTCTATAATTAATAAAATTTTCAACTAAAGTTCATGTTCCCATCTCTTTTGAATTTTTATTGAACATTTTCCTTTTTTTATTGTTTTTGTATTATATATTATGCTCAATCCATAGACTATTTGATTTAATATAAAGCATATCAATGAATGGGAATCGAACAAATATTTATCGCTTTTAAATTGAATTTAGATGAAGTGTGAAATAAAAAATAAGATGTGAAAGAATAGTTTTATTGTCAAACGATCAAGCAAATAATCAGAAGATTTGATTTGCCAAGCAATGATATTTCAAAATTGATTCCTTAAAAGCTTTTCCATTAAAACGATGAGCAGAACAGTGCTCCTAATTGTTCCTTACTAAATGAGTTCACTATAAATTTAAGTGAAAATCAATAAACTTGCTTGTTTGTTTTCAAATTTCGATTGTAATTGAAAATTTAATTGTTAAAATAATAAATCTGCTATAGTTCTTTTGGAAATAGTAAATTGGGATTCGGTAGTGCTAATTTGCATTCAGCAGATGGATCGTAAATTGTTAAAGGAACTTATTGTATGAATTAATTAAGCAAATTGTTTTGAGTCAGTACATCAAAGAAATTCAGAGAAAAATGAAATATAGAATTTAGCGAGAAATTATTCCACAAATATTTTAAATAGTATTTCACTTTTTAGCTGTATTTTTTTACTTAGAATAAAATCTATGAAACTATTTACAGAGAGAATTGCTTGGAGACATTTCCCGATGTTGCAATTTACAACCATTCATTCATTCTTCTGTTATGCTTATTTGTATATCAGAATATTCAGCAAATTGAAATGCATTAATACATTTAAATTCAATTATATCCCATTCATGGCATTTCATTTATTTGCGTACATGCAGGACAGAAATTTTGTCCTTTAATGATTTAAATTTAACTGATGATTTCGAGGAAGAAAATTTAATGTTGGCGGATTCTTTCTTTAAAAAAAAATTTAATTCTTTGGTAGTTATTAAAAAAGTTTCATAGAAATACTGACATCTCACATTTACGCCTCTGTTTGTATCATTAAAATTAATTAATAGACTAATTATTTTGTTCCATTGAAAATTTTGCTAGTGAAATTGCTTTAAATTAATAGTTGAGCGAAATTTCATTCAATCTTCGTAGTATTATGGCGCATACAACGGAACATAACGAAACTATTTTGGTCATTTGGTCAGTGGAAAATTCTTATTTCTGTCAAATTGAGAGTGTCCTTACTTTTAGACAATTTATTAATCAAAATTACCAATTTCCCCATTTATCTCAAAAAATTTTTTTGACACTATTACAGGAGTATCAGTAAAATTAAATTCCAGATTAAATTTTCAATCATAAATTGATAAAGTTACCTTCTGGAAGGAATTGTTGATTTTATACATTGATATTAGTTATTGTTTATTGTTTTCATTTGTTGTTATTAAATAAAAATAATAAAAAAATCCTTTCAAAGTTAGGAATTTTGATCATTTTCAAAAGAAAGAATTAAGAATGAGAGAAATTAAAATGATGAGTTTAAAACTTTTTTGAGATAATATAAGTGCATGAAAAATTCGTTTTATTATTTTTCATGTAAATTTAATTTCTATTAAATTTCGGATTTCTATACATTGTTCCATTATTTCTTGTTTTTTAAATGCAATTCTTATTTAGCTTAATTTATTTTCCATTTAACTGTTATTTATTCATTTATCCTTTAGCTTTCAAGCACCATTCATTCATTAATTTAAAAAATCGATCAGTTAATTTCTTGTCGTACAGAACAGCAGAAGATAAGCTGATTTGTAAAAAAGTTGAAATTTTCGAAATACTTTTTCTTTATTAAATGGAACAAGAGATGTGAAAAGAAAGCGCTGATTTCATAGCTATTTCAAATTACTTTTCAATAAAATGCTATTCTTTGTTAGCAATTAAAACAAAAATATCAGTTAGATTTGTTAAAATTTGGAAAAAATTCCGCAGCAAATTTATATTTCTCGAAGAAAAATACAAAAAAACAGAAGAAGCAAATATGAAAGAATCATTTGTGCACTTTCCTTTGACTGTTCCATTCATCAACTCAGTTTTTTCTTTTAATTATTTTATATGTCATCTATATGAAAAGAATATATTCCTGCAAAATTAAATTTGCATAATTTCATGCCAAACTTGAAAAAATCGTTTTTTTGCTAACATTTGCATTTTTGCTCACTTACAGCATTCTCTCGGCGTATCTTTTTTAAATGTCTTAAAATGATCGATTTCAGCTATTTCTCAGATATGTTTCTCGTTTCTTTCACTTATCAATATTTATTTCATCTCGTTAAAATATTAAAATAGATGTTAGAAGGATACGAAAATCCATCGGTTTTAAAAAACTTTCAAAATTGAAAAATTTCCATCATTCTCTTTATTACCTTTCGTGCATTTAAAATCATACGGAATCACAATCCAAAACTTGCTATTAAATAATGATATATCGATCGAATGTAATAGGAATGTATAAAGCGGTGAAAATTTCATTGAATTCCGAAAGTTCCTAAATTTTCCCAACAAAATTCTCGATGAAAAAGATACAATTATCGTATTTATTTGCTAATTAATTTCTTCAAAAGCCTTAACTTTCCTCATTGTTAGCATGAAATACTAAAATAATCGATAGTTTGACGTTATTTATTTATTTAGACTAAAAAAAGTTGCTGATATTCAAAATTTATTTACTTTCCTTCCAGAATGTCGAATATGCTAACAAAAAGGAAAATTGCAGTACATATTTTCCCTCATTATTTAAAGCCAACGCAGAAAAAAAAAAACGATGCTTAAATTTCAACAAAATATAATTTCGTTTCTGTCAATCATTAAAACTCGCTAAAAAAAAACACATCGTACCATAATTAAAACTAATTAAAGCTTTTTAATTTTGTCGCATGAAAGAGAGTAAAATTTAACGAAGAGAGAATTTCCCTAGTAAATATAGCTGAATGCCAAGAACTGGTTTGCTAGGAAGTGCAGAAGCGATCACTGTTATCAACGGTAAGATCCGTACTAATTGCATGAGCGATATGCTGTCAACAGCAAATTAGATAAGCGCTTTCATACTTTATCTGATTAGGACTTTTTCATTTATTTTGTGAGGCTCATATTCATTTCAATTTATAAGCGCTTCACTAAAAATCAAATTTGAAATGGGAAATTTGAAATGTGTAAATTTCAGATTGGTAGGCAGAGAGATATATGATGAAACGATTATGGTTTGTTGCAATTTTGCAATGCATTTTCATTTATCAGAAAATTTTTTCACAATTGGTAAATTTCTCAAATTCATCATTTGCTATTGATTATCAAAATAATACATTTCTGCTGAACGGTAAACCATTTAGGTAAAAATTCCATTTCATTTATAATTTGTTTTTTTCTTATTAATTTTATAGCTGCTAATCATTAAAGGAGAAAAATATTTGTTTTATCAAATTGATAAAAGTACATCTCTTCTCTGTGTCTATTTTTTTTTCTCAACTCTACTAAGAACAGTGATAACAACTATGATGATAATTGCTGTCTGTGTGACGAAATATTTTCTTTGTCCTCGTTGCAATGCATTATCAGCGATAAAACGTTTAAAGAATAAATTGAAGTCCCTTTAATGGTTGAATTTTGAATATCAAAAGCTTATTAGTTCAATATTTTTCTGATATTGTTAACTTTAAAATTTTCCGCTTTTGCTATTTTTTATTTTCATTTTTATTTTTTCATCTTTACACTTATTTATTTAGGTATATTTCGGGTAGCATTCATTACTTTCGCATACATCCTCATTATTGGGCTGATCGATTGAGCCGAATTCGAGCTGCTGGCTTGAACGCCATACAATTGTACATCCCGTGGAATTTTCATGAAGTTTACAATGGAAGGTCAGTTGATTTAGGAAAAATAATATAAAATATTTTAAAAAACAACAAGGAGATAACAACTCCGTTTGCGTGTGAATAAATCAATGCAACGATGATCGTCATAAAATTATCAATAAAATAATTCAAAAATTGTCAGTTCTTTCGAAAACTTTCAATTTAAAAGAAAGAAAAAACAGAATCTGATTTCTTTTTAGGTTTTTCATTTATTTTCAAAACAAAGAAATTTTAATAATAACTGATACATGCAGATATCTTTTCAATGGACAACGCAATATATCACGTTTCATTGAACTTGCTGCATCCAATCATTTGTTCGTCCTTGCAAGGTAAATTTATATTTACATTTAAAAAAAAAAACAATTACTTTACAACAATTCTATTATTAATTTAGTAATGCACAAGTAATATGTTCGATTACTTTCAGGATTGGTCCATACATTTGTGCTGAATGGGAAAATGGTGGATTGCCATGGTGGCTTACTCATAAATACAGCGATATTGATCAAAGAACTTCCGATAAACGGTGCAAAAATAAAATCTTCAAAATAATTCATAGAAATTTAGTTTGATCATTGGGAGTTGCATTAATTAAAGGATTTTTTTCTTGGAGCAAACGATACATGGATCTTTTTATAGTGAATTGATGAAATAAAACGCCAGTAAAATTAGGATTTATTAAATTGAAAAAAAAAAAAAAAACATTTCAAAAGAATTCTTTTTTCCTTTCATCCTATTTTATGCAAATTTAGATTTCTACAAGAAGTAGAACTTTGGTTCAACGTACTCCTACCCATACTAAATAATCACCTGCTTAAAAATGGTGGTCCGATATTGATGGTACAGGTGGAAAATGAATATGGCAGTCATAAAGCATGCGATGGAGTATATATGAAACGATTGAGTGATATGGTTCGATATCATTTTGGATCAGATGTTCTCCAATATACCAGTCAGTTCTCGATTTTTAAATATTAAACAATCAATGGTTAACTGAAGAGCATTACTGAAAGAAAATATCGTACATACAGTATGATGGCAGAGCATTATTTTCTTGAACTTAGTAATGTGTTTGAAATTTGAAATGCTTCTCAGTCTAATTTGAAATGATTATCCAGAATTAATTAATGCTTATTTTCTATCTGATCTAAACTTCTTAAAAGTTACAAGCATTGAATTAAACTTTTTGAATGATTGGTGAATTTTGTTCATTTCAATTTCTGCTCTTTCTGTAATTAATTATATGAAATGCTTTAAACAGCAGTTTACTTCAATGCCTTGGGAATTTAGTTACTATTAAAAATGTTTATCAGTTTTTTATCCGTTATCTGCCACCTCCTATTTAAAATGAACGAAAATCGCAAAATCAAGCATCAAAAACTTGAAAAATTTACAATGGAACAAACAAAAATTTCATCCTTTTAGGCACTTTTTAAAATATTTGAGCACCTTAATGAAAAAAGAAATGCAAACCTTTGGCCTCTCTTAAATTGCGAAATAAATTTTTTTCACGGGTAGTTTTAGCCACGAAATTCTTATCAAATAATCACTAACCTCATCAAATAATCATTAAGCTCTTTTCATTCCGCTGCTTCACCAATTTATCAACAAATGAGGTTATTTCTTCCGAATTAAAATGCTAAGGTATTCGAATCATTTAAAATGCAACCTTTATTAAATAGAATTTTCAACTTCTCAAAAATTTATGTAAATTGGTTATTTTTATGTAACAGTTATTACTTCAAGAATTGTCGTAAAGTCTAACTATGAAGCTAAAGATTATGTAATGAGACGTGTTTTCGTTGCAAATTCCCAATAAAAAGCAATTAAAATAAGTTAACAATAATTAGCGGCATCATTTTGTCTGTAAAAATTAAAATTTTCGATTAATTTTTTCAACATCGGGAATTTTAAAAGGTGAAACAGAAGGACCTTAACAAGTGCTCATCTAAATTGCTTTTGATAAGAAATTTGCGTATTTTCGCATTTCAGAATGATTTCTTTTTTTTGTGGAAGTAAAAATTATTGTCAAATCCTTACTGAAGTTCATGCAGTAGATGATAAACAGCATATTGCTTGAAGGGTCTCGAATAAATGTAGGAATTCATTTTATAGCTGATGGATCGGGCGAGAGATACCTGAGATGTGGCACGACATCAGGTGCTTATCCAACGATCGATTTCGGTCCAACAAGTCGGCAAAACGTTAATGCACATTTTGCACTGCAACGACGTTACGCACCACACGGTTTGCTGTTGCTTTTTTTGAACCGCATCTTATAGATTACGGTAATTAATTTGCATTATTGATCAGTCGAAAAAGCTGATCTCTGCTCATAGCTGTACCGATTGATTTTCCTATCACAATACTTTTTTTGTTCTTCTGCATAAATTACTCAAATGTTTTTATGAAAGTTTAAAATCTAAATTGGCAATTGTTTAATTATTTCTAATTAATCGATAACTCAAAAAATACATTTATTATTTCTCTCATTTCTTTAAGTAAGTAAAATTATATAGCCGATAAATGTGAACATTGAAATCTACGAGAAATTAGGGATACAACGTGTTGGATGTAATTTTTGAAATTTCAAACTTTTATTTTGCTCATTTTTCAAACATTTTTCCAGTAGGTATGGGAAAATTCAATTAAAATTATTTTATATTTTTGAAGGAAATTTTGTTAAACATTGAACTAATCAATGAATAGGACCATTGGTGAATTCGGAATTTTATCCTGGATGGCTTGTTCTTTGGGGTCAAAGAAGTCAAAAGTTACCGTCAACAGCAGAAATGATTGATACGGCTGATTACATGTATTATCTTGGCGCAAATATTAATTTTTACATGTTCCATGGTGGTACCAATTTTGGTTATTGGAATGGTGCTGAAACTGCTGCACCGGTAAAATTTTAAAACTTTTGAAAAAAAATTTCATTTTGGAAAAATTTGAAAAAACGAAAATTATTGTTGAGAAGTAAACTAGAAATTTTTGAAGAATATCATGCAATTGAGGCTAAAAAAGATGCCTGTACCTCATAGGTGTAGAATTATTTTGAAGGAACCGGTTTTCAAATATAATAGTTTATGTTAACAAATCAACCAGTAAATTACGCTAATTTTTCTTTTGCAAAATCATATGAAAGAATTTATAAAATCAATTAAAACATCTTTTTAGATTTACATCCATTATTCGGAATTTAACCGACCTATTAAATTTGATGTATTTGAACTTTATGAATACATTTCCACTCAATTGACCTCAATTGACCAATTTATTAATCATTTTTGAAGTAATTGCAAAGTTGCGAACGTTTTTAAATCCTAATTTCAAATTTCTTACAATGATAGGTAATAACATCATACGACTATTCTGCTCCACTAACTGAGGCCGGTGATTTAACACCGAAATATATGGCGATACGAAATTGGTTGGCCAGTAAATCGGATTGGCCATATAAACCAGGCGATGTACCGCAGGATAATTTGTACGTAATTTGGAATGCTAAAAATGGATTAAAATAATCCTAATTTAAAAAATCATATGCAGCATGGAAAGCTGAAACATTATCTTCGTAATGACAAATTTCGAAAAATTTACAAGTTGCTCTTACATAAAGCTAATTTAAAATTTTAGAACTTTCATAGTAAGTTTGTTCAATTCGTGAAATATATTTTAATTTCGAAATCTTAAAATCTTAAAAGGAATTTTTTTTTCTTTGGAAACAGTTATATTAATAAAAAAGTAAATAAAACTTTTTTAATTTTTGTGAAATCAATTATTTTGCAGAAAAATTGGTTATGGTAGTGTGAAGTTGAAAAAGATCTTACCGTTAGGTAAATATTTTTGGGAATTAGTGGGAGAAAGTCGAGAATGTCGAAGAACAAAATATCCACTTTCATTTGAACAACTCGAGCATCCATTTGGTAGATTTTTCTCATTATTGTCTCATTTTTAATTTCTCAAATTTAATTCAATTATTTTCATTATTGACATTTAATTATGCAAATGTGCTAGAATGAAGTATTCGTACAGAATAAATGTGGGAAGAATTGTCGTATCAGTAAACTTATCCGTTCTTTTTTTTTGTTGTAAACAAGTTATCAAAACCTCAAAAATTAATTTTTAAATTTCATGGTTAGGCTTTGTGATATACCACACAACATTGAAGTTTGGCGGAACAAATCTTACAATACCACTAATTAAAGATCGTGGCTATGTATTAATTGATAGTGAATTACAGGTACATTCTACATAGAATTCTGATTAAAATCTGAAATCTTATCATTTATTTGACCGAATACTTATCACGTAATTAATTATTTTTTAGAGGCAAATTGGTTTTAGGTTCGAGATTTTACATATTTGATTTCAGTCATAAAGTTAAAACAGAAATTAAAATTTGTTTTTCTAAAAAAACATTTCGAAATTTATCATCCATGAAATTGAAAAAAGTTTCAAATATTCAGGGGGTGCTGGTAAATAAATTTGGGAGCTATTTCAAGCACTGGATAGATTTAAAAGATGCAAAGGAAGGTGCAAAACTTGGAATATTAGTGGAAAATCAAGGCCGGCAAACAATTCCAACAATTAACGATTTCAAAGTATTTAATTTTGCCTCAGAGAATTTAAAAGAATTAGCTTACGCTGATTAGTTATCAAACTTCAACAAAAATTGATATGTTCCACTTCCAGTCAAGCAAATTGAATATGATGATGTATTCACTTTAATCGACCGATAAATTTTATCAGAAAAGCCAGAAAGCTTTATCATTACAAATTATATAATGCTCAGCTATTTTTTGATTGACAATTAACGATGATAGTGATGATTTAATATATTTATTGCTATTCCTATGCTTATCACACAAAATATTCAGGGCATATTAACAAATGTAACACTTAATGGACAGACAATCGATGATTGGATACAATGTGCCTTACATTCAAAATTACTCATTTCAATCAGTCGGCGAGCTCAAAGATGGAGCCATTTTAATGCATGTTTCATTTCACACAAAACGAAATTTCACAATTTTCAAAACCTTTTATTGCTTATGTTATCAGTTTATTTAAAGAAATTTATTTAGAAATTAAGTCATTGACTTTAATCATCGGCATACATTTTGTGTTTTAATTATTTTTCATTATATGTTTTTTGAAAGCCTTATTTCCTAGCTTACAGGCCTAAATTTATTGAATTATTTTTTTATTCAATTTTTGTGTAATTGTTTGAAATTTTACAAATTTTTAGGGAGATGAAAGTGGAATAGGTTTATATATGGGTTATTTCTATGCAAATCGTCTTGCTGATACTTTTTTTAATCCAAGTGGATGGGGCAAAGGACAAGTATTTATTAATGGACATAATATTGGTCGATACTGGCCAAGTGTTGGGCCTCAGGTAATAAGTGATTAATTGATCTAAGATTCGTTGGTCGAAAAGCTTCCTATACAATTTTCTCTTCATTTCTTGAAGGTTAATTAAATCTTGAATCGGTTCCATTTATTGAATAATTTATTATATCTTTTCCAGATAATCAAATTAATGAGTACTTTAAATGCTCTTTCTGTTCTAAATTATTTGTCTTAGTTTTTAAATTGAGTTTATCCGAATTCAGATAACTCTTTACGTCCCGAAGTATTATCTGAGACAACACAATACGATCATTATATTAGAATTGGAACAATCCGAGAACTGCCAGAAGCAATTCTGTGCTATCAGTTTTATCGATCATCCAATATTTAATTTTACTAAATGAAATTAATCATGTGTGACTACTGAAATGTTTGTTGTGATATTTCTATTGAAATCTCTCATGAATGGAAGTGAGAGAAGTGTTAAAAGACAACTGATAAGGATTATCAAAACCAAACAATGAAAAGAAATTAAAATTGCTTGGATGATAATGTTTTTATCAAATTTAATCAAAATGGCAAAACTTTTTGCTTTCATCGAATCGAATTTTTTTCTGATGGTATCAAATTATATCCTATTTCTAAACTGTTAATTTTTTTCGTCTCTTGCATAATGTTTTATTTTTCCATTGGTTCAAAAAAATTTTAACGCCAATAATTTTACAGTTTAATAATTGTCCATTCTTGTAATTTTGTGTCCACTCCTTTGACCCCTTTTTCGTTCAAGCCAATTAATCAATCATATTTATCACAAGAAAATTGGGAAGTTTCTATTTTAAATATAGCTGATTGCTTATCACATGTTCATTTATGATAATCGATTTTCCGATTCATAATGAACGATTTCAACTTATTCGCATTTTTTTGCGCTTCCTTCAATCATCAATAGCTTATTGAAATAATTAAATCATCGGCCAATAGTTCATGTCTTCACTTCGAGCTTTTATGCATTTAATTTCGATTTTCTTTTAAGCAGCTTTTTCAACCTTTTTGATTGATGATCAGAATTTTTCTTTATAGGTAAGTTTTAATTTCAGAAAACAGGTAGCTAAGTCGTTTTTTGAAAGCTTTCTTAACATTTCATGTACTGACCCAATTTAACTAAATTTTTCGCAATCCTATTATATGTGTTGTTGCGATTGTTACTGCTTACTTTAACATCTCATGTATGAATTTTGAGATTCATAGCTTTATGAGACTGTAATAATTTCCAGCGTTGAACCGCTTAGTCAAATGTTTTTGTCAAATTGAACATTAAAAAGTTGAAAATATTTTTACTGAAGTTTAGCGACTACCGTTTCTCTTTGCAAAGTATTTTCAAATTTACGTAGAAAACTGCGTAAAACAAAAAAAAATACGAAAAAATACAATAGTGCTTACATTGTAATGTTGATAAGCACGCATAAACATAGTTTAGCAAAAAAAAAAACATCGTATATTTTATCTTTGCATTTTGGAAAAAGTTAGCAATGAAATTAAAAATTTTTGTATTTTAAGCGTAAATTTGAGCGTTTGAAAATGGGAAAATTGAGTTATTCAGGATACGGTAAACAGTGATAATTTAGAAGAATGGAAAAGTATAATATTGGAAGACATGAAGAATGATAGCTAATGTTACATTTTGGACAGAAAGTATTACAGTTTGTTTCAATGATTTTGTTGTTTTAGTTTGAATTTTTATTCCTACTGGAATTGTTGCTACGATTGGGGAAGAATATTTGGAGGAAAGGAAGGCAGGGTAACACGTATACTTTCTTCACTGACACCATAAGTCTAAAAGGTCAGGATGGAGAACATCCAATGCTATTAAGCCAATTTATTAATAGGAAAGTTCGAAATAGTGAGAAATTTCAGTGAAAATTGATCAAATTTCATTTGATAAATGATTGGAATGAGAAAATTAGTAATTAATCAATGAAATCAAATTACATTAGCAAATTCTATATCTTAGTATGAGTTAAAGGTACAAAATTACAAAGTATTGTTTAGCTCACGATGATGGAATAAAGTTGAAAAGAAAATTGAAGGAGTGAAAATAAATGATGCTTAACCAAATATATAATGCTAAAATGAAATTTTTAAAAAATTTAAATATAATCACAAAAAGAAAAAGCTTTCATACTGATAGCATTATACTGTAGAAAGAACAACAATATTGTTTGTCATTTACGAATGGAGTGAATTGAGATGGCAGTGACACTTTTTGCATTGGATGAATAAATTGCAATAATTGTAAAAAACAAATTCGATATGTAAATAAAGTGATGTCAAATCGGAAAGAAGAAATAATTATCGAAAGACCAAAAAAAAAAAAAATGTGCGAATATTGTTTTGTGTTGTGTTGTTAATTAACAAGCAAAAAGCATCCAAATAACAAAAATAACTTGAAATGAATAAAAATTATTTTGAGTTTTACTTAATTCCTGTATTTGTTTAAGTTCTACCGGAAATCTCAACTAAACTTTATTGCACTGCTTATTGTTGCTCCGGAAATTTTAATGTCAAATTGAATTTATTATTTAATTGCGCAAAGCGTTGGATATTAACGAAATTCAAATATCGTAGTATGCAAAAGTTTTTACTAATAACTCCAACAAGCATTTTATGTGATCAAATAACTCCTGAATTTATTTGCAACATTAAAATTATGGTTGATTAATTTCTTTTCATATTTTTATTCAAACTTTCTACTTCTTTAGACAAATGTTATTTTCAGGGAACCGGAATAGGGAGGTAGAACTTTCACTATGCCTCAGGTGTAATTTTCAGGTAGGGTACGGTATGAAAACATATTAATAGACTAAAAATATAAGAATTGTTTAATAGCCTAAAGTTTTTTAGCAGGTTGAAATTGTAAACTTCTTTTAAACGGAAAATTAAACATACTCAGTTGATAATGAAATCAAATAATTTAGCTGATATTTTGATTTTTTTTTTCCAAGAAGACATGTGATGATATTCGAAACATTAATTGGTAGTAAATGGAATGTTTTTGAATTGAATTTGAGGGAAATTTGGAAGTTAGCACAAGTGGAGCATCGAAAAGCATTGAAAACATCACCAATTCTCGATGGATTACAATAATGAAAGAGAAATGGAATTTGATAAGAAGCATGAAAAATTTTGTTATATCAACAGATTTGCATTGCATTCCGAGAGGATTTCCACTTTATCAACCATTGAAGCAGCCAATAAATTCGTTAATCTGAATGGGATATTCCTGTATCACCCGGTATTTCCCCGTATCGTAAATCTAAAAGCATTCATTGTTAAATTTATGCAATTGAATAATTTTGCATACTTCACATGAAAGCAATTCTTACATTTATTCTGTCAATTTTTACCTTGTTAGTAAAATTTCGTTCATCAAATGATCATTTCGAAATTGAAATTCTTTTATTTAATGCGTACGAAAAAAAAAAACCTGCTCAAAAATCTAATAACATTATATTGAAATGGATATAAATTGATATTACAAACTTCCAATAATCCTTATCAGTGAGTTATCTTTATAAACAGCTTTCGTCTTCTACCTGAATCTTATTGGAAGCTGTATAAAGAATGAATAGCGTATCGTTCTGATAAGTTGATCCAATTAGATCGCGTGGAAATTGTGGAAAATAATTTGTCATTAAACCACTAAATGTTGCAACATTCCAATATGCATCATATGTTGCAAAATTTTCTCCCTGAAATTTCTCTAATAACTATCATTCCACACGTGAACGTTAAATTTCTATTGAAAAAAAAAAAGAACAATGGAAATTGTTTGGAGTAAGATTTGCAAAATTTTCATGAATTTATCAATATAGAGGGAGAAAGAGAAAGAGAGAAATCTGAAGAGTGTTAAGAAAGAAATGAAGAGATTTACTTCGATGAGGACTTGATTACCATCGATCCATTGAAATCCCGCTCGAGGATACACCGGCATTTTCTTTGTTATTTGTTGTGGACTCTTTCGTGCAAGCTGCAAAACGTGTAATTCCATTGTAGTTTAAAGTGAAGATGAATTTGAGATATGAGGAAAAATACCATTTAATTAATATGAAAACTAACGTAGAAAACTTTATTCTTTCGATTCCATCGATATCGATAGACAGTTCGATGTTCGATAAGTACAGTAACGCCACTTCTGCTGTTAGTGTACGCAACCGTAACCGTACGTGGACCAGCTGGGAACATCTCACTGATGAGAAATGATGCCTTCTGATGCAAGTTATCATATCTCCAAAGTTGATATACGCGATCACGAGCAAACACATAAGTTCGACCATTGAATGCTGTAAACTCTCGAACTTATATGCTCGAATAAAAGAATATTGAAATTATTAAAATTTTTATGCTTCTGCTTTAGAACCAAATTTAATTGAACAGAACATTTATAAATCGAAAATGAAATAATTAATGAGAAACTTTAAAACTTTTAAGTTTCTAACTTTTTACAAAATATCAATTGAAAATCTCGACAAATTTTTGAAATCGAAGTTTACCACGTGTAACCGCATCAAAACGGTGTGGACAAGTTTTCATAGGTAAAGCAAGCGGTTGATGCAATTTTGGAGATTGAGTTGGTGTCCCAATGAACAATCGTCCCCAAATAAGATCTTCGGTGGCATCTGGTACCATTAATGATGCAGTGGTAGTAGTCAGATCAGTAATATGAGTGCTAGATGATGTTGTTGTTGTTGTTGTTGCCGTTTCCATACTTTGTTGCCAGAATGGATAATCGGTTGATGTTTGCCAATTATTCGATGTGGAAATATCCCCATAGGACTGTGTTGCTGAAGTTCTCCGATAATTATCACTATCATATCTTTCGTTTACTGCTTCCCATTCAGCTTCCATCAACAGTGTTGTCGTTTCCACGTCTGTTTCCCGGTCGGGATTCTGAAATCCATTAGATTGTTGTTGTTGTTCTTGTTGTTGCTGTTGTTGTTGTACTTCATCATGCCTGTTTACATTCCATTGTAATTCTTCTCCATCACTATCATCCATTAACAAATATGCATTGCTCGGATATCGTTTTACATGTCGCAGCTTTCTTGAACGTCTTTTTCCTAAAATCTCAATTCCTCCAGCTTGAAATAAATGCTAATATCACAGCTGACTGCTTAAACTTTCTTCAAAACGGATAGTAATGATTTTTTGTGAAAAGTGAGTGAAAAATACCTTTCTCTTTTCGCTTTCGCTTTTTCTCGAACGGATCCTGTCCTGACTCAAGAATTAGTGCTATTTTTTGTGCCTTCGATAACTTAGGTATTTTCATCGGAACTTGTACCTCTTCATTATCACTTAATGATAAACGATAACGACGACGATGACCTGTTGCAGTTACATGATTTCCATCCTTGAAATATTTTTGAAAAATAAAATATAAATAAAAATTTGAAATTTGGATGAAAATTTTGTTTTTTGCTTTTTTTTTGCTTGAATATTTGCAATCTATTACCAATCCATGTTTTGCATCTTAGCGATCCTACGCAAGGAAAAATGAATTCCAATCGTTGTTTTAACAAAATCAAAACTGACTAATGAGAGGTAATTCTTGGAAAATCCTCACATTTAAATATGCCATTCAATTATCTTTGATTTTAACATCATTTAAGAACAGTAATCTTATCAATAACATAGATATGAACAAAAAATTGCGAATTCACATGAAAGTTAAATTTATTTCAATTTTGGAAAAAGATACAAAAATAAAATTTATGATACCTGTTTAAATCGTTTTTTGGCATTCAATAGATTACTGGAACATGCCAAATAAGCAAAGGCAGTGAATACAGTTGCGCTATACAGCCACATCTTCAATATTAAATTTTGTAGGATATGACAGTTAAGGATAAACAATCTCATTACATCATTTCTTCAGATATTGACAGCGACCTTTTCATTTAACTTACTACAAATTTCAATCGATCAATTTATCTTTGTAACTATAAATTATTGCGAAAACTTTTTAATACATTCTTTGTCTTCCAGTCTTTTAATATCATTTTGTCACAGAGTGAATATGCAAAATCACTTAGTGATTTTCATTCCATTTCTGCAGTACATCGAAATATTGGAATCGATATTTGTCAAATTATTTTGTATTTCTAACTATTGAGGAAATGGTGTTCCGGTCGTGAACTATTGTAGAAAATGGTTATGTTTATCTTTCTTCAGAGGAATTACGGTCCAGCTCTACCATTCACTTATCCACAATGTCAGAGTCAAGGTAAAGTTTGAATTCTTTGAATTCAATTTCAATATTAAATTAGAATTAATCACAACAGTTATTTCATTTGATAAAAACTGTTGATAAAAGAGCAAAAATACCGCTGAATAAGCTTCAATTCATTTTCAATTGTGGATTCAAAATTTATCTTTGTGGATCAAATTTATCGGAACAAAAAAAAGAAGCATCCAAGGGTAACAGAGACCTTTCACTATTTTTGATCTCATGACGTAAATGACGTGTAGAATTTCATATTATCTGCTTGATTCGACGAATACTAACACGTATGCTAACTTCTCAAACAGGCACATCAATGAGAGCAAAAGTTCAAAATAATTATGAAATTACATACTATTGCACAAATACTAAGTAAAATACAAATTCCTTTCTATGGGTTTCAGTTGCTGGCCTGTTAGGCCTGGCAGGCGAAATGTGACATGAGGGGATGTTGAAATTATTACCGAATTTCAGCATATAATTTGTAAAATCTGAGAAGGAATGACGCAAGCGAAA